GGGGGGGGGGGGGGGGGGGGGCAGGCCAACCTGAAAATAAATTCCTCGAGGAGCTTTTTCACGGCCGGAGCTTCCTTTGACATGGCAGCATCCCCGACGTCCTTGCCATGCGCGCAGAGGCTCTGCATCTGCCTGGTTGTTTGCTGACGATCAAGCAAGAGGGCGAGCATTCGCAACCAGATACCGAGGGTCGGGGAAATACATGAAACGATGGGAAACTAACAACGGCAACCTTCTGTCCAAATAGTATTTTTTCATTTCCAGGTAGTTGGTCACACGTACAGCAATATCCTGGCGGTCTGCTGTACCGATTCGGACGTCCACCCGTGATTTCGCTTCTGCTGCAATAGAAGACGACGCTGACCCCTTGGGAATGGGAAGACGTAAACCATGCCACCAGACTGAAGAATGTTTCTCAACGCGGCTAGTTCAGAGTTGGCCGAAAAACAAAAAAGGCGTCTGCACTTCGCCGACCGTTTAGATTCGGGCACAATCGTTCGGCGGAACAAACGACCTTCACCATGCCCCAAAACATCGTCGTTATTACCGCTGAATGAGGGTGGCGCCACAAATGAGTCGACAAAAAGGCAGTGGTCATGCGTACGAATGGACACACAGCGACAGAAACAAAAAAGACATCAACAGGAGTACCAAAGACTACGATCATGGCAACAAAATTAATCAAAAACAACAGCAATGCAGCATCTCCATACCTGCAGACCCTTGACGATGCCCAAAACCTCGTCCTGGTTGCTATCGAAGGCCCTCTCCAGCACAGACATGGCGGACTTCAGAAACACCTGCACAGAAATATGGCGCACATAGAACATAAGCGATGACAAAAAATATCCCCTTCCTGATGGGATGAGCAAAGCATTCCAAATAGCCACGGCGGATGTTGATAAAAAAATGCACAAACAATTGTGGTATTGCTAGCTACCGCAGATGTTGTTGTCGCTGTCGCTGTCGCTGCTGCTGCTGCTGCTGGTGTCCACGTACATAACCGCTGCAGCCTTTTAGCAGAAAAAGATGACAGCCAGCATGTGCGCAGTCCACAAGCTCCCCAACAGCAAGCAAAAGACCAACTTGGATGCAATAATAGCTATGAGATGTGCGTTGGGCGCCCTTTGATTAATCAAATCCAACACATGCTCTCGGATCGCAAGACGACCGCCACCTGCATGTCCCGCATGTGCAAAGAAGCACTACCAAAAGGCAAAGGTATGCATGGATATTTCGACCCTGGCAGGCACCACCCGCCAGTCGAAGCATTCGACCAATCAGAATTCAGCAAGAAATTCGGGCCCTTTAACCTCTCTGTCTTTGCGCCGAGTAACTCAAGAAATTCACCCGGGTTCCCCACAAAAACACGCGGGACCACAGCACGATATATACAGGGTGCAAGTAGCCCCCGAAATTTGGACCTGCATGATTTTCTTGCTCTCCCGCAGCGCGGACACGAGCACCAGCCTCCTCGACAGGGTAGGGTTGCCCTTGGTGAAGAGGATCAGCAGCTTCAACATGAGCACCTGCATCGGCAGCAAAATGTCCGTCGAATGGATTCCACGGCGTCGTGTTTTTCGGCAAACATCCACTATAAACCACTGAAGCGCTGGGATAGATCGCGCTGCATCGTGCTGCAACGCTCTGCGTTGCGTCATCTTTGCGGTGCAGGCCAGCGGCAGCAGCGTCAAACGCATAAACGTCAACCTTCGGGGAAAGGATTAGTTTGTGATTTTATCCCACCGTCGAGCACAGACTATCATATTTGGAAGTAGAGGTGGACCCGCTCCTGGCCCGTGCTTCGCATCCCGATTTTCATGCAAATTTCGCCGGAAAAACTGAAGCCGTATTTTCCAATACCTTCTGTCTAAAAAGCGGGGCGGTACTGCTGCACGGTATCGCAAGAAGCGCTGCCAGCCCAACACAAAGCTACGTTTGTTTCCAGCAGTCGCGGATTCGTCTTCGCGTCTCGAACGTCTCACCATCCTCTCCGTTCGCATGAGAAGAGCGTCGGTGGGCAGCCTGGACCGAGGCGAGAAGTCCGTCCGATCCTTCCAGCAGGACAGCAACGCCTGAAAAACAAAAAAAAAAGATGAAAAAGAAATACCGCGCTCGCTCAAAGATACGCAAGGGAACTTTCTCTTGATTCGTGTACATAGACTCGAAATCCAATCTATTCCTGCCTACCAGAGAGCTTTGGAATGAAGTTCGTCCATGGTGGTTCTTCGTTGCCGTGCAATTAAATTGTAGGAATGCAATGCAATTCTTCATGAGGAAGCCCTATCAGAGGACGGCTGAACCTCTCGCCTAAAATATCCTTGACTCGTACACCGCTGAAGCATTCTATTTACTTTGACCCCGAATGTCTTCAGGTGGAGAGGCAAGACCGCAGACCAGGTAGAAACTGCGAAACCCCACAAGAATTAGGAACCGACCACCAATGAGAGCACCCCACGCTTCAGAAGCAGCAGAAGCGTCAGCAGAACCACCGTATCCGACGCCAGCAACAGCAATGACACACAAACGCATATCTTGCCTGAAGAAGCGGGGTGTAGAAGTGCGAGAAGGACGCGGCAGTGAGGGTTGGGTAGCCTTCCGCCGGGCCCAGGCAATCCCCGGTCTCAAGTAGTAGCGGGAGCACTTCCGATGCCATCACCTGAAACAGCCCATTAGCAATAGGAGAAGAACCCGGTAGACGGCTGGCATATGCTACGTCGCTTGGCGATAGTCTTCAATTCCCCATGTCCGTAAGAACATTGGGGCGAGGAACGGAAAAAATGTATCATTTAAAGACCATAGTGGGCCCAGGACAAGCCGACCTTACATGCAGTACGAGTTGTCGACAACACCTACTGCAGAAATATTACCCGGTCGAAAACACGGTGACTTTCACCAACGACATAGCGAAGTTCCCCTTCCGTTTGGGGGAGGAAACAGCTACGGACCCGCAGCTGGTTCAATCACCCGTGTAGCAGGGACGTCGAAAGACTTCGGCGAGAAGGCGGTGGTCTAGCGCAAGAACAACGCGTTCTGGCGATTCACAGACGGGGAACGCATGCATCACAGATCGCAAGGATTCGAGCAGAAAGCGTAAGCGCAGGTCCGGTCCAAATAAAACTCACCGCAGCTAGATCCCCGACCACATCAAACTCTGGTACGGCTTCTTTTATTTTCCTGGTCACAAAACAACGATTAAGGCTTCGACCGCAGAAAGTGAATTTTCGTTTCTGCGGGCCCGAAGCGCTTAACACGCCTACCTCTACCGCCTGGAGCGGGTCCTTGGCCCAGTGCAGGTGTGCCCTGACCAGCACCCCGAGGGTCGAGCTCTTGTACACGAACCTGGCCGAACAACAAGAACGAGAAAAAAAAAAAAACATGCATCAAGTGAATCAACCACAGCTTGACGCTAGAGTGGACAAATCGGTGAAATAGTGCTGAACCCTCACCAGCTGTGCATGAAGTAACCTCACCTAGAGGACTGCCGGGGAGCACAAGTGCGCAACAAGTAAAGTATTGCACATCTCTCTGTATCGCATGGTGGCTAAGTCTCGGTAGTGCTGTCGATGAACGGCGCTGAAAACGTACACGCCTGAAACGTCTGGGTTGCATCCCACGGGAGATGGCGGTTGTGAATATATCACATAGTGATGAACCGTTGGAACAAAAATATACAAATCGTGTCGCTGTTAAAGCCCGCTGTAATACTTGCTCCAACACCAAATAGAGGCGAGAGCGGGAGTACGTCGTTCTCTTGACACAAGCTGACTCTGTTGCCGGCACGCATCATCCCTCCCTCAACATGTGTCTCGCGCTCTTGCGCAATATTCCGGAGATACTCTGGAACAGCACAACGACAAAGAGTTTGAAAATAGCGTAGGTGAGTCGGCGAAGCTCGTGTCTAGCACAGCTTTATAGACCCCACCAACGCCTCCAGCACTGAAAAGTAGCGCGCCACAAATAAGGGGACGGTGGCAAGTGTTGCCCGCTGAGCGTGGCCGACAAACAATACCGAAGACAAAGCCAACACCATTTTCTTCCGTTCAAACGACACTAAGGAATGAGAAGGAAGTGTGAGCTCGACAAAAAAAACGCTGTCATTGGCACTCACTTCAAGTCGCCCTCGCTCCAATCCCGCTGTAGCAGTGTGAGACACAGCGAGGACAGCTTTTGGTGCGGAGACAGCTCAGGCGTTTCTCCTCTCCTCTGGCCTCCTCTTGCCGCTGCTCCTCTTCGGGCTGGCTGGGCGGCGAGGCAGCGAACTCTTGCTGTCGCCACGGCTTCCATGACCTGATCGATCAAAGCCCGATTGCAGGAGAACGAGAATAGAACGAGGATACACAGAGAGAGGGAGACAAAGCGAGAGAGAAAGAGAGAGAGAAGGAGAGAGGGGGGGG